AATGAACTGCCTTTTACTCTGCAATCAAAACAAGAGAAGTGAATACAGAAACAGAACTTACCTTGGAGCCACGCTCATTAAAGATTATCTCTACATCAAGGATTTTGCCGAATTGCTGCAAAGAGACAAGGGGAAAAAAAGATTTATTTTTGGCAATCCATTTTTCCTACCTTTTGGGGGATGGTTTAGTGCAAGAAGAGAGGTAAGAATTTCCATTTCTAGAATACAGGCAAAGGCATAAAATCCCAGTGATGTGACCCAGTTCTCTCAGGTTAGGACATGCGGATCCTCTTGGTCACAGACCCCAGCTTTTCTCACAAAAGTCTAAAGGAAGAAAAACAATCTCTGGAAGAGTTTTAGGGATTTGAGGTGGCTTTTCTTTTCCCCCTTTTAATCTAAACAATTCTTTCTTTCCTCATTCTACTCTTTCATCTAAGAAATGGTTATATGATTTCATCTCCGACATCTAACAACATTTCTCAAATGTAATTCAGCATTTCATCTTCCTCCTGAAGTGGCTATCACACAGAGAAACTTAACAGAGATGTTGTTTCGCTGGAGGGAATAGTCATGTAAGACTCCCAACCTCAGGGATTCCAAAACCTAAACCTCATTTGCTCCCCTCTCCTTTACTTTTTGAAACTCCAAGCCTTCAAAAGAATTGATGGCAGGTTCAGAAACCATGAAAACGCACAACTCTCAACAGTTTGCTTCTCAGAAAAGTAGTATTCAACTTCAATCTGTGACATACAGCAGGCTGCCAATAACCCATGCAAATTTATCATGTATGATACAATTCCGACCTCTGCCTCGGCCTGGAGAACCTGAGGAGAGCAGGGCCCCACTACTCTGCACTGTTTCAACAACTGGTTCCAAAAAGCTCCCTACTTAGCACAGAGCAAAAATGGGAAACGAGAGCTACAAGCTAGAAAGGAGATTTACCACACTCTGTGGAACCATATATGGATCCCATCTTTCACCATGGAACATATTATTTTCATTGAACTAGCCAGATTCAAACCAGTAACCTACAGGTAAAAGCATCACCACTCCAACAGAGTCCCACAATGCTCTGTCCTCTAGAAGTGTCAGTGTTCGATTTTCAAACTGGAGAGCTGCTCTCCAGAAAGACAGGTCTGAGATCTCATTTTCAGAGGCATATAGAGAGCAGTCTTCATTCTATGGATGCATACTGTGCTCAGACAAATGCTGTATCTTAGAGTTTTTCCTGCTTATGAAAGCTTCCATCAACGTGGTTTTGATCTCACTGCCTGTAGAAGATTTAAAGGTGATGGCAAACGAAGGAAGGGTCAACAAGAAAAGAAAGGATGGTTTCACAGTTAGGAAAGATGATGAACACAGCCTCAGGGCAGTGGGACACGCTCCACTTTGCCACGGTGCTCTTAATATAATATTTGCCATTTTTTTTAAATTAACATTTTCATTTGGAGCCAAATGGGTAAAATGCTCATTTTGTGGGTGCCCCGCTTGAAAGACTTGTCGTCAGATTTGCAAACATGGAACATTTACAACAGTGAGTCATGACAACTGAGGAGAAGCTCTGAATATGTAAAGCGATAAAAAGCTATTAAGTCCCTTTAAGACGTATTGCACAACTGTCTTCAAGCAAACAAAATGCTTCCAACAATTTTAGCTATAGTTTCTGTCTGCTCTTATTCCCCATTCTTAAAAAGGAGATAGTTGTATTCTTTTACAAACGTTGGTTCACAGATGTTGTTTTTGCTGTTCTATTGTTTAAGGACAATACTTGATCCTCTATTCATCCCAAGAACAATTGAATTCACAATATCCCACGTTACAGGAAGTTTGAATTATGCTAATGTAAACGCTCATCTTCCTTGAAACCTCAACATCTCAACAGCTTAGGCTTGATCCAGGCTGGATCCTCTTTTGACCACTGCTGTGCCAATCACAGCTAAAATACATTTTCTGTTTCTATCCTGCACTTGGTATGCACTTGTCTACAAAGGAGATTAGCTGTTGATTGCTTTTTATTGTCTTTGTTGCACATGGCTTGGGCACTGCCATGAGAGAAACCAATCATGATTGCTTTCTGGGTAGACTATTTCGGTGTCGCTACAGAATGAGAGCTGAACCAATTTAACAGCTCATGGCTGTTCTTAAGGGCTGTCCCTGCTCCCTTGTCCTTCCTTGTCTGCTCTTACCAGCTTCCTAAAGCTGGCCCCAGTTTTCATTCTCACCTGTAGACAAACTGATACAGCTCACCAATCCTGCGAAAAAGTAGCCTAACAAAAGGAATGAACACAAAGTCTTTGACAATTTACTGATCTGAAGTGGCTCAAAAGGTCAGGTGTGCATTAGGGCGCTGAGAATCAAAAGGGAGTGGAAAGCAACACACCTTGCCTGAGAGCAGGATCTGCCCCTGCCAGATCAGCTCATCTGCCTAGCCTTGCCACACATGCTGAAACAGCCAGGCTCTCGATAAATGCAAATGCCAAAATTATTTTCAGAATCTTTAAAGCCATCAAAAATCACCACTTTCTACCTCATTAGAAGCATCTTGAAAGAGAACAAACTGTGCAGCTTCTGGTGCACAACTATGCCATGCCATCTTTGCCTTTCTCCACACCCAGCTTGCCTGGAGCCTCGGGTATCACTGCCAGCACCGCCAGCCAGCCCCGTTCAGCCAAGCTCACTGCGCAGGGTTTCCACACCAACAGGACATCCTGTCTTGTGTGTTTAATTTCTTGTGGCTGACAAAAAGCTGGTGGTAACGCTGAACCCAAGTGGTCTGACCTGGCTCCATGAGAGGTGGCGGGGCCATCTCCCTGCCCTGTAGGTGACGGAGGTACGTCATTTCCCAGAGGACAGAATTAAGATCGTCAAATCCTGCAGTTGCAGCAAGCACAGGCTTGATATCTACTGCTGTGGGCTACATCCACCCATGCAAACCACCCCAATCCCTTTTCCACCTAAGAGCTGCAGGTGACTGAAGTGGCAGGAGGGAAGGACCTGCTTGGGAGAGAAGGAGCAGAGACAACAGGGGCTAACTGCTGTACTGAGGTTTGCTGGGGAGGGGTTTCCAGCACCATGAAATTCCCTGGAAGAAAGCAGCACTCTCCCTGGAATTCCCTGGAAGAAAGGCTGCGGGCAGGAGGATGTGTGTTGGGCTCTTCAAGGCTCTGCTACAGCCGCTGCCACAGCTGCTCTGACAGCTCCTAACACCACGGCTCTTGTCCTCCCTGCTGCAATGGTTACAGCAGGTCCAGCACTGGAGGCACTTTTTTTTGGTAGTGTGCCAGAATTTTCCTGAAGAATGAAAGCAGGAAAAAAGAACTAGTTCATTTTAACAGTTTATATCTCCTTCAAAGCTGAATCTAATTTAGTGCAACATAAAAAGGCACTTTGTTCTCTCATGGTGCTTCCCCTACCAAATGTCAACAGCCTACTGCAAACAATGGAAGTTTTAAGAGCTCCTTAGTGAAAGGTCACAATTTTTGTATGGAAAATACTAGGCCATCTAAATACAAGGGTCAACACCAAATGCCCCATAGTAATTTTTAAAAATCATGTATACAGGCATGTTTGTATTTTCCAGCAGACAGAGGGTCTGGCCAAATAAAACAAGACCAATGCTTAAGTCATCCATGAGGACTAACCCTCTAATCTCTAACCTTGAAGACATGAATCACTGTGCTCACAGACCTGATTTGTTCACTGAATGATTACCAAGAACTTCTACTTACAACTCTGCACAGCAGCTGGGGAAAAAAGTCCTCAACAGAGTTCACAGCCTCTGAAGAAGGCATCGCAGGACTACGCATCCCAAACGCTCCCCACCATGACTTAAAAAGCTTACTACGCGACGAAGAAGCCAACATTCCCCATCACGTGTCAGGTCATGCAAGAAGCCTCTTCCATGAACTGCTCATGCACACGCTACATGATGGATAGATACACACGCACACACTTCCAGTGATGCCATGGCATAGGAGCTATAGCATCTTGTTTTATCTTAGTGCTCCATTCCCCGGAGTGACTTTGTACCAGCTTTCAGTTATTTTTCTGTAAAGCAGGTAAATGAGAATCATTCCCTCTACAATGGCAGCAGAGGCTGCTGAAAATAACAGTTTTAAGAGGCATAAAGATATTAACAGACATCAGCTATGACCAGAACCCAATTTTCTTGCTCGAACATGATGTACCTTATCATAAATGCAAGAGCATTGTGCAAGGAAAGGTGTACGCATGCTGTGTGTTTCTTTCCACCCAGATGACATGAAGGCAGCAGATTTTTCCAGCAGAGGCCATAAATACATTACATATAATAAATTTGAGAGATCTGGCATCAGAGCGCTTTTGCCTTCCAAGGCACTGACAGTTTGGTAGGGCCCCTCCTGTATGCTCTGTTCCAGCTGGCCCTGCCTCCTCTCCCTGTCTAGAGCTTTCAAAATCAGCTCCAAAGTGTGCCAGACAAATAACTTAACCCTAAAGATGCAAACAATAGAGAGTACAAGGCAAATTCTCTAGAAATCATGGAACAACAGAAGGTAATGTGAGACACCATGTGACAACCTCACATCCCTACAAGAGAACTCTGTATGCCCAAGCAGCTTTGCACTGGCCCTACAAAATTCACTTAGAGATGAGTGCAGTGAACTATCTAAACTTTGAAGGTGTCAAACAGTCCATTCTCAAAGATGACTGAAATTCAAAATAGCCAGGAGGCCAACCTCCTGTGCAGGAAACCATTTCAGCTCCTCAGACTTGAGGCACATGAGCAAGAGTGTTTCATATACAGCATAGGTCCATGCTTCAGACAGTGCCCTTTCCTTAGCTCCCAGCCCTATGGGATACACTTACAGCTGAGAACAGCTGGCTCCATCATAGTGTGTATTAATCAGTGCTTAGTTATGGCAGCATGGGATCAGCCAGAGCTACGCTGCCATCAGTACATGAACTTCCTCACCTAAAGCTGTCACATCTCTTCAAAACAGCAGGGCTAACCCTGCTACAGCCAACCTACACCAGTATGCTTTGCTGACAGGAAGATGGAAGCATCAAGGATTTATAAACCAAAGGACTACCAGAGTTTACCAACTGAACAGACAATGAAGCCCTTAATGGGGTTGA